TCTGGTGAATCTCATAAGAACAGCACCCAATTTTTTTTCATAAATTGTATGTATTAAATGACTTTAAACAATATATCAATTACTTGTACGTAACTCATCATTTAACCATACCTTAAAGTGCTGAAGCGCATGTTCTTCTATGTAGCGTCCACACGCTACATGCGAACAGCTGAGACATGCCCACACCGACTCAGTGGTGTTGCAGTCCACACAGTGCCATTTCTGCGGGTTCAGGATCGAGTGGTCCCGCGCGAGCCTTAAGCGACCCACGTGCTTACACCTGTCCATCACAGTTAGTCACTGCCCTCTTCACATCACCATGGTGACGGCAGCCAGCAGTGAAACCAGCTCCTCCCAAGGCATGATGGTTAATCTGCAGAATACAAAAAATGGATCCGATGAAAATAGATGTGTGCTTTTTTGTAGAAGTAGGCCTATGCTTCATTCGTGACATCATTTCTAGTCATAAATATTTCAGACAACAAGTACAGAATCATTCAAAAGTTTAGCGTTCCGTAAGACTTTTTTCTTTTTAAAGTGACAGTAAAGATTTGTACATTGTTAAAGAAATTCCTAATTGGTGTTCTTTTGAACTTTCTATTCATCATTCTGCTAAAAAAAAAATCACTGGCGTTTTCACATGCAAATCAGCACAATGGAATGATTTCTGAAGGATCATGTGACACTGAAGCCTGGCGTAATAATGCTGAAAATTCAGCATTGCAACACAGGAAAAAATTTGGCTACACTTTAAAATCTATTAAAACATAAAGCAGTTCTTTTAAATTGTGATAATATTTCATGACTGATCGCTATATTCGGGTACTCCAAATAGCGATATAGCTAAAAAAAAATTCTCAACGATATAATGTTTCATATCGTTCGGTATCAATAATTGAAATTTTTTATAACCTTTTTTAAAACGAAAAGCAATAGAAATTTTTTTTTTACATTTAACCACTGCATTTATCATTAACAATTTATTGAAACAAAGAAATGGTTTTGTTTGTTTTAACAATCAAACAATAAAAATTAAACAAATCTCTCATTTCTAATGTTTTATATGCAGATTAAATAGGTCTTTATTATATAGGTCTAACTGTCTCCCGAGGCCACAGGAGGGCGCAATGAGCAAAATAATGCAGCGCATTTAAATTGTCAACGCAAGGAAGTAACTCTATAAAAACGTGCATTATGTCTAAATTAACTCATAAAAATCAAATATAATTTCGGAAATTGCATAAACAATTATGAACAAAACAGCATCATGTATTTATGCATTGCTTAATCCAAAGAGCCGAATCGCCCATCACGCAGATTGCCTTAAAAAACATACGAGATGCAGTGAAACGGAATAAACCTCAAATTCGTGACGCGTTTTCTAAAAGTTTAAACCGTTTCAACTTCGCATGGCTTTCTATACATCTCTTCTGTGAGACGCGAGTGCAGCAGTCATATTTGTCCGTCTAGAAAATGCGCCGAATATGCGTTCTGTGTGAATGGCTTAGTTTCGGTTTTAACCTAATCAAGATCTTCCCCGCGTTGAGCTACTATATCTCTCTAATATTTTAAATGCACAACACAGCAGCGTCGCGTCTCGTGGGCTAGACTTATAAAACATTCAAATGCAACAACGTCACTTGCATCATCCTCGCCACTGATGGCGCTCCCCGACGCACGCCTAACATTCAAATGCAAATGTTTATTTTAAATTCGACTAATATTCATTCTTTATTCGCAATCTCCTCATCATCACAGGCAGGCAAAAGCACTCATTTCAGCACGTGTTCGTGCGTGCCGATATCGAAGAAGGTGTACCGCCGATAAATACCGATACCGTTTTATCGCCAAGGCCTAACTCAAAGGTAATTGAAAGAATATCATGGTATGTCATGTCCAAAAAAAAAAAATGTTTTACATTGATATAAACCACAAAATGTAATAACTACCACAATTGTGTTGTTGTACCAAGATATTTATTTACACAGTAGTACTAGCTATACTACCTTTGATGGTACCTTTGTATGCACATACACGCGTGCACACACACACAATACAAAGGTACTATCATAGAATTACTGTAGTTTTCTGATATATATCACAACACTGAATCATCACCATATTCAAATAACGTGGTATTTACACGTCACATATGTACCACAGTATTTACATGACATACCAGGTTTTTAGACAGGTAGCATGGTGCCGTGTCTGCATAACTCGACAGTATCATGGCGCTCTGAAGAATATCTGTAATCTAAACTAAGGTATCGATTTCAAGCTGGTAAACATCAGTGAGTATTTAGCTTAGCATGTAAACAACCCGGCTTATTTGGCTTCACGGACGCCTGATTATCTGTGTCACTACCAAAATAACACCCCTCTTTCTCTGGGCCCCACATGTGTTTAACAGAACCAAACTAGCAGCCAACCTACAAATACACCTTTGTTGACATTATTCTTGTTTAGAAGGTTAAACATGCGTATAGCTATTGTAAGAGGCTTTGTAAAAGTTATTACCGCACAGCCAGTGCTGGTCTTTATCGCTATGGTTCTACTCGAATTTCGGTCTGGGGTTGTAATTAAACGACGGTGGACAACCATACTGATCTCATTTAACTAAGTTAGTTTAAACTAACGTGATCAGTTTGACTTTGAAGGTGTTTAGGCGCGCGAATGGTGCTAGGCGCTAACCACCTCCTTCATCTACCTGGTCTCAAAGAGCTAACCGGGTTAGCGGCTGAGCTCAGAGCAGCTCGGCTAGTTTAGTGTCTCTAATCAGCCAGTTATAGAGGAAAGTTACCCAGCGCACGGGATGCTAGTGCGCTAATGCTAAAATCACACAGCAGTGAGGCTGAGGTGCTGGGAGACTGAAATACACTGGTTGTGTTTTATCTCCGCCGCTAGTGTGAACGCGATATGATCGGAGCTGTCTGAAACCGGCGATATTTTACTAACCTGATTTTCCGTCAAGCACTGGTTACTTCTGCGGCACAGCAGCGAGCGCCATCTTGTCTGCGCTTGTCGCGTGGAGTGTCCCTCCGTGACGTCACGCCCGAGAGTCCAGACGCCGCTCAAAACAAAAGAGTCACTTTAACACACCTCGCATTTACTATCTTCAAAATAAATGTCCGGATTTGATAAGAGACGCTCGGTAGCGAAACACGTGAATGCTGTGGACCAGTTTAAACGGTGCCTGTGGTGACTAATGTTCAGTGTTGGGGAAAGTTACTTTTAAAAGTAATGCGTTACTCCATAAAAAAAAAAGTAACGAATTACGTTACTTTTTATGGAAAGTAATGCGTTACGTTACTTTTGCGCTACTTTGTAAATCTGGACAGGGTTTGCTTGTTTGTTTTTAAAATAGAAAAGTTATATTTTTGGCAAATATAAAAGCCTTTTCACACCAAAGGTGAAATGAATAAGCCTCAGGTTGAAGGGAAAGTACATTTACGTCCGTACAGTAGAATGCAGAAGAAGACATTTCAACACACTTCAGCAATAAACAAAGACAAATGTTCGTCTAGAGTAATTTGTGCTTATTAGTGGTTGAACTGGATCATCGAAGGTCAGAAGCAAAGACATTGGTTAATAGAATGGGAATAAATACATAAAGGATATTTGTGTTTGACATTTAATTATTGCAGGTTTGCGTCATATTCTGAGTTGCATTATTTGTATTCATTTTGAGGAAAACTGAATCTGTGTTTTGTTGTTTTTTGTGAGTGAGATGAATTAATGCATATTCATATTTATTTCAGAACTACAGTAACATCTGATTTCTCTCAGCATGGGGACAGGAGAGCTGTCAGTCAATAAATTGGGGGGGGGGGGGAGTAACTTGCGTTACTTATTTGAAAAAGTAACTCAGATATTCTCTTGTAAATTAAAAAGTAATGCGTTACTTTGCTAGTTACTTGAAAAAAGTAATCTGATTACGTAACTCGCGTTACCCCCAACACTGCTAATGTTTACGTGTCCATCTCTCACTCAGTCCTTGTGTGGAAACGAACGTGCATTAAAATTAATAAAAAATTCCACGTATAATGAAAAAAGAATTCTATATGATACACATAAGTGCTTTTTATCAAAATGACTTGTATATGTCAATACAAAAGAGCATATTATGAATGCATTCGGAAATGTAAATGTGACCCTGGACCACAAAACCAGTCATAGGGGTCTTTTTTTATAAATAAATAAATAAATAAGCTTTCCATTGATGTATGGTTTGTTAGGATAGGACAATATTTGGCCGAGATACAACTATTTGAAAATCTGGAATCTGAGGGAGCAAAAAAATGAAAACATTGAGAAAATCACATTTAAAGTTGTCCAAATACAGTTCTTAGCAGTGCATATTACTAATCATATATTAAGTTTTGATATATTTACGGTAGGAAATTTACAAAATATTTTCATGGAACATGATTTTTGGCATAAAAGAAAAATTGATTATTTTAACCCACACAATGTATTGTTGGCTATAGCTACAAGTATACCCGTGCTCATGACATTAGCATGTGAATGATTAATTTATTTACATTTAAATGTAATATATAATTATTAAAGCGATAGTTCACCCAAAAATGAAAATTCTGTCATCATTTACTCACCCTCAAGTAGTTCCAAACCCGTATGAATGTCTTTGTTCTGCCGAACAGAAAGGGAGATGTTTTGAAGAAAGTTTATAACCAGGCTGTTTTGGGGCACCATTGACTTCCATAGTAGGAGAAAAAAAATACCATGGAAGTCAATGGTGCCCCAGAACTGCTCTGTTTCCCACATTCTTCAGAATATCTTCCTTTGTGTTCGGCAGAACAAAGACATTCATACAGGTTTGAGACTACTTGAGGGTGAGTAAATGATGACAGAATTTTCATTTTTGGGTGAACTATCGCTTTAAATTATGTACGATTGTAATCTACTGTTCGTTCACATAACTGCGTGAGACGAGTGCATACGGGAGGGGTTCCAGGGTCAGATTCCTGTAAACAGACCTGCGGCTGATCTCAGATCAGAGCGCCGTCGCTGAGCCTGGACGCCACTTCCGGTCCCGCGATGGCGGTGGATTTGACTCCGCGGTTCAGAAGACTGAACAGTCAAAGCTGTTTGAGAGAGAATAAACTCCTGGCAGGTACAAACACACGATGTATATAATGCGCGGTTGTGTTTACATACAATTCATTTTTTGTTAGTTAACTGTATGCTTCCACTAGTTTAATAACGACCTAGTTACACCAAATTCAGTTGTTGGGTATTCAGTTGAGCTAGGCTTTACTATGCTTTTCATTGTGTTTATTTGTTTGTGTGTGGTCCTTCAATATCACGGATTCAATTATAAGTTTTAAACTGATTTCCTTGAATGTAAATGAGCCGAATCCCTTTAGTTCTTATGGTGAAATAGTTCCTGTGGTGACATTACGAGTTGAGTCTTTACTGGTAACTTAATACAAATATTTAGCAAAATACAGTGTAGTCTGAAATATCTACATTAGGAATATACTTTATAACACTGTCTAAATTACAGTCTTCTGTGTTTGGAGACTCGGAAGTAGCATAGAAGAATATTGGATACATGTGCATTAATAATAAGTTTAAAAAAGATCAAACATATCTTATATAACTGTTAATGGGAAAAATTCCCATCCATAAAATGTGAGATACTTTAGGGTTTTACTTCAGGGTTTACTGTAATGTTTTACATAAACGTAAAAGTGAAAAGGCATTTTGAGCTTATTATATAAGCAGGTATGATATTGTCGTATAATATGCATGGCACCCTTTCCCTTTGATTTTATATATCAGATATTTTGTATAATTATTGTACTGTACTCTTGTCACGGACAGGTTTGTAATATTTTAGTTGAAACTGAATATTTCTGAATCCCGATTAACCTTGTACAAAAAAATACAAAAGACAATCTAAAAGGCCTTTTACTTAGTAAAAAAAGAATAAAGGTAAGGCATGTAGAAGATTTTTAAGTGTTAATCATTTAGAAGCCTGAGAAATGATTGTATCAAATATAATGTAGTAGGCTTTATACGTTTATAAAGACACAAAGTATAAGTAGTATGATGGTATTTAAAAGTTACAGCGATATATCAGGTGATGATACCATGGTACCGTGGCGTTTTGGTCATTTTTGTTAGTGTTTGAAGACTTCCTCATTTTGTCCTGATGCCTCTCAGGTTTCGCTGGGCCCTTCAGGGCCACTCAGCTGTGGCAGAACATCATAGAGGCTCTGCGGACGCAGGTGGAGCTCGGACCCCGCAGACAGCACCTGCGCGTCCATCACGACTGCTTCACCGGCTCTGATGCGGTGGACGTGGTTCTGAGTCACCTCATGCAGAACATCTACTTCTGCTCCAGCGAAGTGTCCCGTCTCAAAGCCGCCAGGCTCTGCCAGGCCTTAATGGAGTCCAGAGTATTCGAACCAGTCGGGATAAAGCTCTTCAGACGGGACAAAGAAATGACCTTTGAGGACTCCAGCTGCAGCCTCTACCGCTTCCTGGACGGATCGACCAAAAAGACATACAGTGGCAGTGAGCACCAGACTCCAGACAAACAGACTGGAAAGAGGAAGACCACTTCGAGGTAATTACAGTTGTATCACTGTCACATCCGAAAGTTTATTTTGCGGAGCTTAAGGTTGTATGCTGTATCTTTGTAGGTTTGGACAAATGCAGACCATCTCCAACCCTTTGGTTCTTGGATCATCAGATAGAAGAGTGGAGAGACTACTAAAGAATATAAACCTGCACCCATCTGTGCCCTCTGATTTAAATCGTGCTGCCATTTCCAATAGCTTCCTGTCAAGAAAAGGTGAAACTACACATCATTTTGATTGTTATTAAACAGAAATTCTTTCACAGGACAGCACAATAGCTGCTTTTGTTCTGATGCAGTCTATTGTGGTCTAATAGAGTCTGATTTGGTCTCTGATGACGTCTTAATGGGTTTGATGAGGTATAAATGTAGTTCGGTGTGTAATGGGTTATGAAGGGGCCTGATGTGGTCTATTGGGGTCTGATTTGGTCTCTAATGACATCTAAATGGGTCTAAAGAGAATTAAATGGAGTCTGATGTGTTTGAAATGGGTTTTTGAAGGGGTTCTGAGGCAGTCTCTTGTGGTCTGATAGAGTCTGATTTGGTTGGTTGAAATGGGTTTAAATTGAGTCTGGACTGGTTTCTTCAAGGTCTGATGTAGTGTAATGTTTTAAATGGGTCTAATGTGGTTTCCTGGGGTTCTGATGTATTCTATCGTGGTTTAATAAAGTATAATGTCTGTAAATGAGATCTAAATGGGTTTGAAGGGGTTTAAATCAAGTCTGAAGGTTTTTTTTTTGAAGGCTTAACGAGGCTGATGTGGGTCTGATGTGGTTTCTTGGGTTCTGATGCAGTCTATTGTGGTCTAATAGAGTCTGATTTCGTCTCTGATGACATCTTAATGGGTTTGATGAGGTATAAATTTAGTTCGATGTGGTGTAATGGGTTATGAAGGGGTCTGATTACATCTAAATGGGTCTAAAGAGGTTTAAATGGAGTTTGATGTGTTTGAAATGGATTTTGAAGGGGTCTGATGTAGTTTTTAGGGGTTCTGAAGCAGTCTATTGTGGTCTAATAGAGTCTGATTTGGTCTCAGATGAGATCTAAATGGTTTGGAATAGGTTTAAATTGAGTCTGGAGTGGTTTCTTGAAGGTCTGATGTAGTGTAATGTTCTAAAGGGGTCTAATGTGGTTTACTGGGGGGTTCTAATGTAGTCTATTGTGGTCTAATAGAGTATACTTTGGTCTGTAATGAGATCTAATTGGGTCTGAAGAGGTTTAAATTGTGTTTTTTTTTGAAGGCTTAATTATTTAAGACTGAAAGGGTCTGATGTGGCTTCTTGGGGTTCTGATGTAGTCTATTATGGTCTAATGGAGTCTGATTTGGTCTGTAATGAGAAATTAAATGGGTCTAAAGTGGTTTGTTTAAAGGTGTGTTGAGGTGGTCTAATCAGGTCTGACATTGATGCGGGTTCTAGGGGTCTTTTGAGGTAGTCTGCTTTTATTATTGTATTGTGTTATAGGCCTAAATGTTTTCGATTCAAATAAATTATTTGAAAATAAAAACAATCAAAATATAACACTTAAAAGTTATTTTGTTCCAAGTTTTACCCATTGACAAACGATTAGACAACAGTAAAGAAGGATGCAAGACCATGCCTTTGTGAACAGTCTTTACTATTTCGTCTCTTCTTGTCTTTGTCTCAGTGGTACGGGACGTTTGGAGGCAGCAGGCGTTACTTCAGTTGCTACAGGTGGTTGAGATCGCTATGCTGGACTGTATTCTGACCTCACCTGCCAAACCGGAGCCCCTGCGCTCGTCTCATCGCAACCACGGTGACCTGGTCATCTCCAACACTTGCGTGGATCGTGAAGTGTCCGAAAGTCTCAACCTGCCTGAGTCCGTTCACAGCACTCAATAAATACCACCACATTTAGATTCATCGTCTCTGTTTGACTTCACCTGTGTGTCATTTCTCTCTTTGAAGGTTGGACGCTTGGCTGACGGCAGCGGTGGATTGTCTTGATCTGTTCCCAGATCAGTTAATCGTGGTTGCCAGTGAACAGCTGATTCAGCAGAATGCAGCATCTGGGAAGGAGAAGCATAAGAGACTGCTGTTCGACATTATCGCCAAGTATTACAACAGCCCCGAGAGACCTCCACTACTGTCAGGCCGCTACACCGACGTCCAGACTGGAATCCTACATCTTTTGGGTAAATGTAAAGCACAGTGGGCTTTTGGGACACTAAAGGTGCTGGTGGCTGTTTGTTCTTTAGAATGATCTTATATGTGTGTCCTTCATTAGATTGTGGGAGAGGTGAGGAAGCCCTGAGAGCAGCTCAGCTCTGTCTGCAGCTGCTGGAGTCCACAAGCAGAGACGAGTTACGCAGACTGTTGGGTTTTATGGCAACCGCTGCAGATAATGAAGCTTTCAGACTGCACAAGCAGGTTAACGAGAGTTCTGTGTATAAACAATCAAAAATGTTTTTCTTTTAAAAAAATAGATATTATTACCTTTTTCATAAAAAAAAAAAATATATATATAATAAATCCATAATAAAGGTTTTTGTGTACATAATATACTGTATGTGTGTGTGCTGTGTATATTTATTATGTATACAGTATATAAATACACATGCATGTATATATTTAAGAAAAATATGTTATGTTTATATATTAAATATATTTATATATAATATAAATTACATGAATATAAATATATACATGTAAATATTTTCAAAATATATACAGTATGTGTATGTCTTTATATATACATAAATATACACAGTACACACATATATTACATAAACAATTTATATATATATATATATATACATGTATGTGTGTGTGTGTGTGTGTGAATTATTTGTTTTGGTTAAAATCAAAAGAGCAATAAATTAATTATAATTTATATAATATTTAATGTATCTTTTTTGTTACTTTTTAATTTATTTACTGTTGCTTATTTATTTTATTTATAGAAAAAGATAAAGATAAATGTTCTTTATCCCTCTAATCAATTTATATTCCTCTATAAATGTATATACTGTATTTACACTTTTGGGGTTCATACTAAAAAAAAAATTAAGTGAATTATTAGGAATTTATCCTAAAATATTTTTTAGAAGACCGAATCCTTTTTTTTTTATGAATAAAAATGAATGCATTATTATTAATTGTACAATGCATAATTATGTATTAATAATTATACAATTATATTATTATACATTACTGTACAAACGTCTCTTTTGCTTACCAAGGTTACATTTATTTTATAAAAATACAGTGAAAACAGTCATATTGTGAGATATTGTTACGCTTTAAAATATTCCTAGTTTTCATTTTTTAAATATATTTTAAAATGTAATTTATTCCTGTGAGGGCAAAGCTGAATTTTCAACATAATTTCTCCAGTCATCAGTGTCACACGATCCTTCAGAAATCATTCCAATATGCTGATTTGAAGCTTAAAAAACATAATTCTTATCATTATCAATGTTAAAAACAGTTGTGCTGCTTAATATTTGAGTGAAAGCCATAAATACTTTCTTTGTAGGATTCTTTGATAAATGCACCATTCAAAAGAACAGCAGTTAATTCAAGATAGAGTGTTCCTTGTAACAATGCAAGCCTTTTCTGTCACTTTTCACCGATTTGATGCATCCTTTCTGAATAAAAGTATCATTTAAAAAAAATAAAGAAATTTGTTGTACTGACCCCAAACTTTTAAACTGTAGTGTAAATGTTTCTAGTAACTGTCAATGAAATTCACAGCCTAAATTTTCACTTAAAATGTAGGGAGTTTATCCAGTTTTTTTGTTTTCTTAAGTCGCTGGGGTATATTTGTAGCAATAACCAAAAATACATTGTATAGGTCAAAATTATCGATTTTTCTTTTATGCCAAAAATCATTCGAATATTAAGTAAAGATCATGTTCCATGAAGATATTTTGTAAATTTCTTACCGTAAATATATCAAAACTTCATTTTTGATTAGTAATATGCATTGCTAAAAACTTAATTTGGACAAATTTAAAGGCGATTTTCTCAGTATTTAGATTTTTTTTTTGCACCCTCAGATTCCAGATTTTCAAATAGCTAAATAGTGTCCTATCCTAACAAACCATACATCAATGGAAAGCGTATTTATTCAGCTTTCAGATGATATATCAATCTCAATTTTAAAAAATTGACCCTTATGACTGGTTTTGTGGACCAGGGTCACGTATGGTTGAATTTAGGAAAAATGTGTAAATGAATGATGTAAATGAACAGGCTCTTTACATGTGTGTTCAAACAGATTGAGAACCGGGCTTTGGTTAGCAAGACGTTTGTGAAGGCTGTGATCCAGAGTAAAGAAATGACTCGTGTCCAGTGTGAGCGACTGCTGCTGTTCCTCATGGATAATCACACACAGCTCTTTAAGGTACGACCGTTTTACTTATACATTGTCTCTTAAAATTCTGTGCAATTCACAGAACATTTAACCCTTTATCTTTCCTATATCTAGACACCATTATCATTGATTGAGGCTGTGAGGAAGACACTACAAACCGTGCAGCAAGGGAGGGATCTAGATAATGTAGCACGTAAGTTAGCTTCCAATCTCACTAATAAAACTGATTTCCGCATTGATTTGATTGAACATTTCCTGTTTTGCCTTTGCAGTGTTCACGTTCTGCCAACGGGTGTCGCTCCAGCAGTATGAGGGTAACAAAGATAAAGCCACTCTGGACAGTCTGAAGCAGTTAATGCATCATATCGCTCACAGTGACGGCCTGTCCGTCAAACAGAAGAGAGGACTGGCCAAACAGTTCCAGAAACATCACCCAGGGATTTTCCTCCAGCACTTCTTTTCTTCATTCTAGAAACACTGGATAAAAAATAGTCTTGTCAGTCCGAGAATGTTTTTATTATTCTGGGTTATAGAAGTATACCAGGTAGAGATGTTTGTTAAAGGGATAGTTCACCCAAAAATGAAACTTCTGTCATTAATTACTTCCAAACCTGTAAGACCTCCGTTGGTCTTCGGAACACAAATTAAGATGCTTTTGATGGAAACTGCTAATCACTACTCTGCACTACATAGATTTCATCAGGTGAGTGAATATGCTCTTTTCATGAGCTTTGAAAAGGCAGCATCTTCTTGAACATGTAGAATTACTTGAATTGTGTGAAATGCTCAGGTTTTTTTAAAAAGCTATTAGAAATAGTTTTAGCTGCACTTGAAATTGAGAAATAGATGATTATGCCTTAGAGGTAGAGATTTGAATTATGCTCTTTTTAGGTGAAAGGATCACTTATTTACTTTTTTTGCAATGACTGAGCACAGATGATTTAAATTAATATTGCTCTGCATAAGTTTCAACTTCTGATTTTGGTGGATTTGTATTGGAAAAATGTAGCATAGTATGGTGCTACTGTGTAGGTATGAGGCGTAATTATTCAGAAAGACAAAGGGAAGTTTAATTGCTAAAATGATTTTAACTCCTAAAATAATGATCATGAATGGGGTTGGGTATCGTTTGAATTTGATCAATTCCGATTCTTATCGATTCTAATGCTGCGTTCAAGTCCTCCTGGGACGTTACGAGTTGACAAGTCGTAATTACGTCGTCAGGTGCGTTCAAGTCAGTTTAGTCGGCACAAGATGGCAGTGTACCTTCTTTTAATAAATTACAAAGAAAATACAACAGGGTCTGTTAACTGTGCTTATAAAAAAATGAAAAGCAAAGAATTCGCATCAGGTGTGTTTTGCATTTTTAATAATGCGTTTCAACAAATGCTAAAATACAGAGATTAAAAAAAGCTGTTCGCTATATGGCAAATCCAAAAAATGTTCACCTATAGGTGCAAAAATGATAGCATTTTTTTTAAAACTGGGATTTCATTAACTAGCTGCGTAACAAGAACATGACCGATTTAAGTTTATAGGACAACTAAACTAAATTTAAACAAACATTTACCGTCAACTACAGACGTTGCATCCATCGATTCCGCCATGTTTCTCATTGACACGCCCCCAACTCGGAAACTCGGGGCTTAAAGAAAATTTCGAGTTTCCCACTCGTAATAACGACTTTGTGGTGGCGTCCATGTGCGTTCAACTCGTAAATACGATCTATCCGACATGACTTGAACGCACCATCAGTTTCGATTCCAATGTGGTAAAAAAAAATGGAGGATATCAAACATATTTATTCTGTGTCTCTTTGCAAAACATTTAATTGCTTCTGAATACCTTGAACAAAAATCAGCTGGCCGCATAACAACTGGAACGTTTATTTTATTTTATGGATGTGGTTTTCTCACAATTCTGAAGAAAAAAAAACCATTAGGCAACTAAACAAAATCTCATGGAATTTAGAAATGAAATGATTCAATGACTCACTCAAGATTTACTTGTTTCATGGATGAATCGGTGTTTTTTGAATGAATCTCTTGAATGAATGATTCAAAGACAAATACATTTTAAACAGCCCCTTTTTGCCACCTAAAAAAAAGATTGATAGGCGGAATTGAATTTTAAATTTTACAACAAGTGTCCGATTCTGGAATTGGAATTGATTTTCGATTTCCAACCCAAATCATAAATGCACTGGATTAATTGTGGGTTTTTCATATTGATGGTATTTATTAATAAGTAATTGAATAGAAAGTGAATTGCATACTGTACGGATTATTATTTACAAATGATTGTAGTTGCATAAAATAGATTCTTTTTTAGATGCACTTTAATTTTCTGATATTTTAAACTCATTAAAATGCATTCAAAACTCTCATTCTGACTCTTATTTGCTAAAAAAAAAAAAAAAGCTTTTAATGTTTCTGAAATATACAAGGTGATCAGATTTTAACGATATCCAGTGGAGTTTCATTAGGCAAGAGTAATAGAAGGTTTTAGCTTTATTATTATTAAGACACGGTATTAGGCTCCCAAAAATGAAATCAAATAAACATCAGCAAAAGATGATAGTTAAAAGCGAGTCAGTCCATGGCTGATATTTAGAAAATCAGGACTTTTATCATCGCTCATTCAGTAAGGTTAGCAGGTTTAAAGATGCACAGGATGCTGTTGTGGAATATATATACATATTACACACACATATATTACATAAACATGAATATATAATATTTTATTATTATATTATATGATATAAATTATTCGCGATCATTGCCCAGCACTAATATATATATAGGATACAGGGGTATATTATAGGATTTAGATAGTAGTACTATAATATTTATTAAAAAAAATATATATATTTTTTTAATTTATTTTTTTTATATAATGTAAAGTGCATTCAGTGCGATATAATCCATGCTGCATACTCCGATACTGTAGGTGGCGGTATGCACCTGATAAGTCATGGTTGCAATCCGCCATAAAACTAACAAGAAAAAGAAGAAGAAGAAGAAGACGGTTAGCTGCTGAAGCGGAATCTCAGGTGTTTTGATGAAGTGTAATGGAGGCTGTTAGCCACCAGCACTGCTGACAGTTTTGTTACTGTCTTAATCCTGCTTTTAATCACTCAGTCTCACTGTCAGCGCCTCTACTGTAAAGGTAAGACTGTAGTCTCTGTGGTTATGAGCTGGATATTTATTCTGAAACTCTATTCCGCGGTTATTGATCAGTTCTGTGTTGTGACGCTTCACTCCATTAGCTTTAGCCTGTTAGCTCCGCGTATGTCGTGTTTTATTATATAGTCGCACTGTGAAGGTAATCTGTCTCCGTTTCAGTTCATTTCTCATGGATAGCACTTTGAGGTTTTGTTGCCTTGAGAAACACAAGTGATATTTACATTGATCGCTGTGTCTCCAAACCTACTGACAGCATTTTGGGCATCATGTATAATTCAAGCTACGTTTTCTTATTTGGTGTCAGTTCAGTTTATTCCGTCAGTAATGAGTAGAGTTAACTTGTTTCACTGAATCTCACTCAGTCTGTCAGGTGCTCGTTCATAAAATATGTTAAATAAGTCACACTTTTCCTTATGAGGCCGCTGTGTGATTTCCGTCTGACAAACACAGACTTTAAAGGGGTCATATGATGCTTTTTTAAAGATTATTATTTTGTATTTCTCTTTTGAAAATAACAAATGGAAATAGATCACAAAAGTATTTAATGTTCTCAGTTTGTACATTCTTTACATTTCTTTTGGACCTGGGGTAGAGAATTTGGGAACATGGTGAAAAAAAAATCTTGTTGGTTTTTACTTATGAATAATACTACAACAGGGATAGTAAATAAAGTGAATGAAGTAGCCTATTATTAATACGCGACTAATATTAACATTATTTGTCCCACAGGGGAAACTGTTACTAATGATGGAAATAAACTGAAATATTATTGTAATCAACTGTCATCCATACGTATTAATTTTAATAATATTTATAATTCATATGATTTGACATGTAATGTTACATTATTTTGATTTGGGACATCGGAGATCGTGCTGCGCACGTGTACATTCAGGAGGACACAAACGCAACTGTCACCTCTCATCTCTCTCATTGGGATTAAAAAAGGTGACCTCTGCTCTGTAAACATCCATGACAGTATTTCTCTTTTGAAAATAACAAATGGAAATAGATCACAAAAGTATTTAATGTTCTCAGTTTGTACATTCTTTACATTTCTTTTGGACCTGGGGTAGAGAATTTGGAAACATGGTGAAAAAAAAATCTTGTTGGTTTTTACTTATGAATAATACTACAACAGGGATAGTAAATAAAGTGAATGAAGTAGCCTATTATTAATACACGACTAATATTAACATTATTTGTCCCACAGGGGAAACTGTTACTAATGATGGAAATAAACTGAAATATTATTGTAATCAACTGTCATCCATACGTATTAATTTTAATAATATTTATAATTCATATGATTTTACATGTAATGTTACATTATTTTGATTTGGGACATCGGAGATCGTGCTGCGCACGTGTACATTCAGGAGGACACAAACGCAACTGTCACCTCTTTCTCTCTCTCGAATAATTAATTCAAGTATAATTATAATTAATGAATTCAAATAAATGTGATCTTACCGCACTATTTCATCTCTTTCTGATCTGAAGGGGGCAGAATGCTGAGCTAGCCAGCTGTAGCTTCACGTCAGGTGGTTCTTGCCTTCACATCGTGCATTAAAATCGTTCAATGTACAGCTAGCCGTGCATTATGCCTTATGTATTCGCTCTTTAGCAGCAGTTTTTTAGAGCAATATTTAAATGAAACCCTGGTCATTCTTGGTGTACCCAAAATGGTCCCACACTATCGACAGGCATTTCTCTGGTGGAAATAAAGCTTCCATGTTTGGTTCCTCTGCCACAGTTAATCTAATGCATGTAGTAGCCTCCGTGCCTCTGATAAGCACGTCATTTTAAGCTGGTTGCACCACTATTGTAACTTTGTTTTCATTTTGTGCAAGCTGCAACAGTTCCGTTCCGTGTAACAGAACCACTCGGTTTAGTGGAACCTTTACGACTAATTAACCGTGACGTTTTAAAGCGCGGTTAATTGCGAAACCGGTTAATCGCTGCATCTCTAGTTAGTTAATACATGAACTAACACTAACTAATGGAACCTTATTGTAAAGTGTTACTGTTGTATCTCGGCCATATATTGTCCTATCCTAACAAACCATACATCAATGGAAAGATTATTTATTTATCTCAATTCTGAAAAATTGACCCTTTTGACTGGTTTTGTGGTCCAGGGTTACATATATTATGTTATGTTATATACTGTATATGCTATATTATATTTAATTTAATTTTAGCTTTATTTCAATTAGCAATTTTTTTTTTTAGTTAATAACAAAAACCCTGAACTCATCAAATTCGCTGTCTTTGTCCTACAGGAAGCGTGACAACATGATGAAATAACTCTTAAAGCCTATGTCCTGTTTCTACTTCCTGTTGCAGGTTGACAGCCAGTAGAACCATGGAGTCCATGCTCAATAAACTAAAGAGCACCGTCACCAAGGTGACAGCTGATGTGACCAGTGCTGTCATGGGCAACCCTGTCACACGGGAGTTCGAGGTGGGCCGACATATCGCCAGCGGGGGTCCAGGAATGAGCTGGAGGATCTACAACGGCACCAAAAAGTCCACCAAACAGGTGTGTGGGTTATTCATTACAGTCACTTCTGTTAGTCTTTTTCATGTATACAGTATCATATATAATATGACATGATCACGTTTGATGTTGGTAAGTTGTTTGCAGTGAAAGAGGAAGTATTTAACCTAGAAAATGCACAGCACAGTTTTTTGAATGATGTAATTGTCATGACTTTACAGAATGTTCACTTGCTGTATCGGGGCAGTTCTTGCTTCCTCACATTGCCACAATCTTGTGTTTGTTGATCACGTGCATGTGTTTTTAAATGAATTTGTAGCCATCAAAATAAAATTGTTTAGATGGCTAATACAGATTTTGTTTGAAATTGTGGTAGTCTTGGAAGCGTCATTTAGAATGGGTTGCGTTTTTAATAAATAAATGTAATGTGTAATGTTGAATGTACAGATATTTTTGCAAAGTGAAAAATTCTTTTTTTTGTCGAATGTACAGATATTATTGCAAAATTAATATGAATGTAAATCTTTTTCGACCATAATTCTGTGTTGCTAGTCATACTTCGCTGTCATGCCTGGTTAGGATAAAAAAAACACCTTGCATCAAAAGCAAATAGATTATAATCCGTGTTCACATACTATAGTAATAACTATAAATTTTTAATTATCGTTCTAGTTCTATGAGATTAGCGAAGTTTACAGCTATAACGATAATGACACAGAAGAACGATATAATTTGAAGCACTTTTTCAGAATGCTTTTCCTCCAGCTGATGAATGATAAAAACATTGACAGCCAATCAGAATCCTTTGATGTAAACAGGCCTCAACTGTCATGGAACTTCAGAAGTGATTGATTTTAAATGCTTTATTGATAATGCATGTGCACCACACCAATTGCGTTCCTTTAGTGAATTTGGTGATAAAACAACAAAGTGGCTGCGAATAAACAATGTTGGCAGTGGGCACAATTTATTCTTGCTCATTTCCCGCCTCACAGTTCATTCAAGTAGTATGACATTAGCATGTTGCTATGCTGATATTTTCTTGAGACTCTTAATAAGCACAAAAATGTAAAGGTTTTGTACTGCATAAAATATTTCCTTCACTTCCATGCTGCATCAAACCATCTTGCATGACAGATTTCATTGTAGTGCGTTCTGGGATTGGTTTATTTAGTAAGCATACATGTGATGCTGCTTTATATTTTGGTCAAAATTAAGTATCTTAATTGCATTAATAACTGGATACATATATATTATTTGTTGAATTTGCAGATGTACAGATAGTTTTGCAAATTAAATATAAATCGAAATAATTTTTATAAATGAATGTTGAATGTACAGATAAACAGATATTATTTCAAAATAAATATACATTTAAATGTTTCTAAATAAGTTTAGCAAATTAAATATAAATCTAAATATTTTTATAAATTAATGTTGACTGTACAGATAAACCGATATTATTTCAAAATAAATATACATTTTAATATTTCTAAATAAATTTGTGGAATGTACAGACATGAATTTGTTTGCAAAATAAATATAAATGTACATTTTATGAATTATTTGTTGGAATTGATTAATAAATACATTTTTGATTTGATTTCATTTAGGTTCTTTGTTAGAATGTATGCATTTTATTTTATTTCGTTTGAATTTATGTATGTATTTTATTTTGTTTTATTTTTTGTGTACGTGTGTGTGTTCAGCCGTTAAAATTTTACACTGCTATAAATTAGCTTTCTGTTTCCCCCAGGAAGTGGCAGTCTTTGTGTTCGATAAGAAGATCATTGATCGCTATCAGAAGTTTGAGAAGGATCAGATCATTGATTCACTGAAGAAAGGAGTTCAACAGCTGACGCGATTACGACATCCGCGCCTCCTCACGGTTCAGCACCCACTGGAGGAGTCCAGGTGACAACTTGCTGTGACACAGACTGTGTTTTAAAACCTAGTGAGCTGTCTACATGGACAGCATTTTGCCCAGCTTAGACGAATATGCATATGATGCCCAAAAATGTTTTCTAGGTCAGCTCATTACTTTTTGAACAAAGCCAGTGTTATCATCACTGCACTTCCTTTTTTATATCCACTTTGATTTATTTTTGCTTTATGTAATAAAACTGATATGAAGGTTCAGAAGCAAAGAATCTACTCTCGATAAAAGAGTTCAGAGCTTTTTCTTTATTTAAGAATTGGCTCCTGTGCTGCTACAATCAATATGTGTCTATGTGGATGCATGAGATCAGAAGCAGCAGTTCATCTGTGGAAAATCTCTCCTGAATAATACATGGCTCTCTTAGGAGATGTGAGACTTAAGCTCCATTCCAGAATCTAGTCTTGCTGTCTACAGTCTACATGTTATCCTCACTAAACACGATGCAATAAGATTCCAGGACAAGCAATTTGTCTGTTCACACCAGACGCGACAAAGCTACAAGACACAGCCAAACCAGTTACAAAACACATACACGTGCAATGAAATAGATAAGTACATAATCAAATGAATAAAATTAAGTAGTTTAAATTGTTAAAAAAATACAATTGAAAAAATCCTTGTCATGAAATCATCTTGTTTGTTGATGTAGAGTTCACAAAGTTGGACGTACTTGTGTCCTTATTGACCTTTTAACTATTAATGCTTTTTTTCCTCTATCACATATTTTAGTAATCATTCTATTGCATATTTTAGTAGTCACATAAATTACATACCATTCAAAGGCTTAAAATTCATCCTCTGAAAAGTGTTTTGAAATCTGAATTGAAATGGTACTTTAAATTCTTTTAGAGGGCTCCTTCCCCTAGTGGGTGGTGTTAGGGGTCATATTACAAAATTTGATACAGTATTTTATAATCAAACCTTTTTGTAATTGAGACCAAATATGGCTTACTGCAGGTGAGGCCTTTCTTATACAGTTAAAAAGAGGTACTTTTTTTCTTTCGAGTTAGTAGAGCCTCCGTGTAAAAGTGATATGTCATCTCAAAGTTACAAGGAAAAAATCTGAAACTACAGCTCTCACACATTTTAACCTAATAGTATAGCATATAATGCAATTTAACAAATACATTTTATTTTATTTCTTATATTATTTTTATATTAAATGGTTGCTTTTTTGAAAAATATAAAACCGAAGGGTTTTTTCTTCATTATTTATTTGCAAATCTTTATTTTTTTATTTTTTCCCTGCAAATCTTTTTCCACATTATCTTATATAGGACCAAAAAAATTTCTGGATAATGCATCCAGATGTTTAACATGTTTTATTATATAATACAGTAATCAAAATAATGTTTAAATACTAAAAATTATTATTAAAAAAGTTACATTATTTAATAAACTTGAAAAAATAGTACAATTAAAATAATGTCAAGTCACCTTTATTTATATAGCGCTTTTAACAATACAGATTGTGTCAAAGCAACTGAACAGCATTAATTAGGAAAATAGTGTCAATAATGCAAAGTGACAATAGTAAACACTCATTTTTCAGTTAAAGACAGTTCATCATTGAATTCAGTGATGTCAACATCCAGCTCAGTTTAAATAATATCTTTGCAATCATGTCAACGATATCGCCGGAAATGAAGTGTCCCCAACTAAGCAAGCCAGAGGCGACAGCGGCAAGGAACCAAAACTCCATCGGTGACAGAATGGAGAAAAAACCTTGGGAGAAACCAGGCTCAGTCGGGGGGCCAGTTCTCCTCTGGAATATATCTTTCTCACAGACATCACTGGAAAGTTTGTAGTTCGGTCGGATACGTCAAAAACAAGTAAGTAAAACAATGCACAAGTTACTTAACGGTAAGGGAGGGAGGGAGGGAGGGAGAGAGCACGCGCAATTCTGTTGTGTGATCTTTGATGTTCACTCACTTAGCACACGCATCATTTGGATTAAAACTAAATCGTAAAAATAAAACCATTCATAGGGGCATTCACTATAAATGTCATTTATTTTTAACCTTAGGCATACACGACTTTCAGGCGAAAGTGAATCTAGCAGCCTGTGTGAAATGCGCTAGGCTATACTATTCTGCATCAGTACAAATACGTGCGTGTGTTGTGCGTGTTTTGCTTGCTTGATTGTTTCTGCATTATATGAGTGGTTTTGGAATATAAATCGCAGCACGTTTCAGATGAAAACAAAAATGTGACTTCTATTTCTGAAAATATCACAATTAGGAGATTTATAACGAGTGGTTTCCTGCATTATTACAGCAAAGCGCATGATTACAGTACTAAGCGGCTGCAATGGAGCAGCTCTAATGCTATTAAATTAAAGATGATGTACATGGAGCAAAAAAATGAACAGTGAAAGTAACAACTTTTAATGGGCATAATTAAGTGTGAAAATAACAGAAGGATATACAGTCAAACCAAAAATTATTCAGAAACCAGATATCATTTTTGATAATTTTTTACTAGTGGGTGCAGGACACTATAGTTCATTTATGTAAGTGAGGATAGCAAAATAAAGTAAACTGTGACAAATCATACCCAAAAATTCTTCATACAGTGGACTACAAGTAAAATTGATACAAATTTGGGTCCAGAAATTATTCAGACCGAGTCTGGGAAAACACTGAAGTTGAGGTTTGCATGAAGCTGGATGACAGCATGCCCAGGAGACTACAGGCTGTCATTAAGGCTAAGGGTTGCCCGACTACGTATTGATAGTTGTGTAAATACTGTCATACTAACAGCCGTCTAATTTTTGGTTGATTGTAATCCATTACATACCTTTCTATCAAAGTTATCTTAACATTATCAAGCTGAATTTGTTCTGACTCCGCTTAACTCTGAGTTCTTGTTATATTTTATTACCATTTTCTAAACTATAGCGAATAAACTGTGATAATGTGACAAATGTTGAAGGTGTCTGAATAAATTTAGGGTTGACTGTATCTATTTGATAAATAAAGTTAACCAACTAACATTATACATACTCTTTTGGTTTCTGTACCCAATATTTAAAAAATGTACAAATGCAATAAAAATATTGGTATCGGCAAGTACCAAAAATAAAAGTATCGGTATTGGGCGAGTACTGGAAAAAGTGGTATCGGTGCATCCCTAGTAATTATGACAATATATATTGTTGGTAAGGTTTGTGTCTCAAGGTTGAGCTTTCAAACTATTAATTAATAATAATAATATTGTGACAGAAGTGCTTAAATTTGTGACATGAAAATGCATCCAAAAATAAATAAATAAATAAATTCTTTAGAGTTTGGGTGTCAATGGTGGCTATTTTTCATATGGAACCTCAATTTTTGTGATATCAACTTCAAATTTGGAACATAAGTATGTTGATATACTTATTTAATATCACAAAAATATATATATGGCTAACTAAGTTATGTTCCGAATTTGAAGTTGATATCACAAAAATGGAGGTTCCTGTGAGATTTTGTTTAGACTCCATATGAAAAATAGCCACCGTTGACACCCAGACTCTAAAGAATTGATTTAATTATTTATTTTTGGATGCATTTTCATGTCACAAATTTAAGCACTTCTCTTAATCTTGGATATTTATTTTATATAAAATAGAAACATTTTAGAATAATGTTTTCTTTACAATAAACTTAAATGTTTGCCGTCAGCTGCAACGTAGAGGAAATAGAAACCATTTATCATATATATTATATACCATAATTCTGTGTTGCTAGTCATACTTCGCTGTCATGCCTGGTTAGGATAAAAAAAACACCTTGCATCAAAAGCAAATAGATTATAATCCGTGTTCACATACTATAGTAATAACTATACATTTTTAATTATCGTTCTAGTTCTATGAGATTAGCGAAAATTTACAGCTATAACGATAATGACACAGAAGAACGATATAATTTGAAGCACTTTTTCAGAATGCTTTTCCTCCAGCTGATGAATGATAAAAACATTGACAGCTAATCAGAATCCTTTGATGCAAACAGGCCTCAACTGTCATGGAACTTCAGAAGTGACTGATTTTAAATGCTTTATTGATAATGCATGTGCACCACACCAATTGCGTTCCTTTAGTGAATTTGGTGATAAAACAACAAAGTGGCTGCGAATAAACAATGTTGGCAGTGGGTACAATTTATTCTTGCTCATTTCCCGCCTCACAGTTCATTCAAGTAGTATGACATTAGCATGTTGCTATGCTGATATTTTCTTGAGACTCTTAAGCACAAAAATGTAAAGGTTTTGTACTGCATAAAATATTTCCATGCTGCATCAAACCATCTTGCATGACAGATTTCATTGTAGTGCGTTCTGGGATTGGTTTATTTAGTAAGCATACATGTGATGCTGCTTTATATTTTGGTCAAAATTAAGTATCTTAATTGCATTAATAACTGGATACAAGTCTATGATGGGAAATAAAAAAAATGTTGCCTAGGTGGGCAGCTCACTAGTTTTGAAACAATCAGTACTTTACACAAACACTGGAAATATACAGAGAAAACGACTGTATATCTGAAATGTGGCTCAGAAATGTCTCCAAGGTCACAAACACAACCAGTTCCTACTTTCTGTGCTTTTATCTGTCTGTCATTACTGTTCTCACTGGATGTCTTTGCCTCTTTATCTCTAGAGACTGTCTGGCGTTCTGCACAGAGCCTGTGTTTGCCAGTCTAGCGAATGTGCTCGGCCAGTGGGACAACCTCCCTAGTCCTGTTCCCACAGACATCAAAGAATACAAACTCTACGACGTTGAGACCAAATATGGCTTACTGCAGGTGAGGCCTTTCTTATACAGCTAAAAAGAGGTACTTTTTTTCTTTCGAGTTTTTCTTTTTTCTGTCATCTCAAAGTTACAAGGAAAAAATCTGAAACTACAGCTCACACACATTTTAACCTAATAGTATAGCATATAATGCAATTTAACAAATAAATTGTATTTTATTTCTTATATTATTTTTATATTAAATGGTTGCTTTTTTGAAAAATATAAAACCAAAGGGTTTTTTCTTCATTATTTATTTGCAAATCTTTATTTTTAATTTTTTCCCCACAAATCTTTTTCCACTTTTATCTTATATAGGACCAAAAAAAATTCTGGATAATGCATCCAGATGTTTAACATGGTTTATTATATAATACAGTAATCAAAATAATGTTTAAATACTACAAATTATTATTAAAAAAAGTTACATTATTTAATAAACTTGAAAAAATAGTACAATTAAAATAATGTATTGAATAAATATATTTATTAAATATAAATAAATATTATTTTACAAAATAAAATTTTAAAAGGCAGTGCAACAAGTACAGGTGCATCTCAATAAATTAGAATGTTGTGGAAAAGTTCATTTATTTCAGTAATTGAACTCAAATTGTGAAACTTGTGTATTAAATAAATTCAATGCACACA